AATTACCATTAATTTCATTCATGCAATATATGAAAACTAACACATACACAATTGTTTCTTTAAAAGAAACCAATAATGGTTTAAGAAGAGAAAACAAGGAAATGTATTTCAATCTCAGTTAGTATACACACCATACCATCTAAAGACCAAAAATCACCACCTACAATATCCTTGTGGATATAGAATCCAATACAAGAAATTAGAACAATACACACAAGCCCACTTTCTGTGAACTTGAAGTTTGACAATATAAAAGATGAAAATATCTGGTAATTACAACAAAAAGTATGAAAATATCTGGTAATTACAACAAAAAGTATGAAAATATCTGGTAATAACATAACATTAATTAATTATAGCAATAAAACAATTAGGACAAAAGTAAAATTTCATAACATGTCTATGATGCCTCGATTTCAAAAAAGTATTAAGAAAACCAAAATAACCATTGATTCTTCAATAATTTATAGACTTCCTAAAAGTAAACCAAAGATTTGAATGAGTCTTTTACCCAAATAATGAAACATTTTCAAAAAGCCCAATTTAACGACTGAAAATTTCACTTGAATTATTTTTGAATAAAAAATAAAAAGGAGAAATTTATTAATAAGGAAACAATAAAACAACTAAGGTTATTCACACTTATACTGATAAGAGGTGATCAGCATACAGAACTTAGAGCAGAAACTATCAACCTAAGAGAACACTTCACTTTATGTACTTGATAAATTATTTCACTCTTAAACAATATATAAAAAGAATATTAAGTTTTCCATTATTGGATGATCATATTTAACTCTTTAAAATGAAACCACTACCAGATTTAAAGATAAAAACAAATAACGTTTCAACATTAAGATATTTGGTTTTATGCAAAGTATATTTCAGATTAACTGTCATTATATTTGAACTATATTACCTCCACAGCTGTTCAAGGTTGCCTCTACTGAAAGAGGTTTCTTGCTTGTTATAGCACATACTGAAAAAGTAACTATAAGGTGAATTATGACCAATCTTTGTCATCCAACCTGCTAATGAAAGTAACAACCATGATGTGATAAACAGAATTATGGCAAAGTCTGATAATTGAAGAAGGATATAGTTTTAAAAATACAAAATGACCATACAAACAAATTGGAAAGAACTACCATAAAACAAACAACCTCTAGTTTGCAAGCGGCTACAAAGTACCCAAAGTATATACATTCAACACGGTTCTGAGACTCACTGTAACTGCTGTTGACTCATTAACTATTCATCCACACCATATGTAGCCCATTATCATATTCCAATACTAATTCCAGTTTGAGCTCTAAACAGTTTTAACGAAATCAACTCCATTATACTTCAAACTGAAATAAAGAAAATTTAACACTGAGGGTGACAACAATTTGTTTCATCATTTGCTAATAAAACACTGAAAACTGGACAATGCCTTAAGTTAAATAATTTTGCCTTAACTTCACAATATGTTCATTTCTTACTGTATCAACTCATCTTTCTTTGATTAGAAGATCAGCTTCAAAACAAAAAATCAATGGGTTTGCGACAGGTTCATCTTAGTCACCAATCATTACAGATCTCTACAAGTCACATATTGAAGTATTAGCTTCAAAGTCAGCATCATTGAACAAAGTAGATGGGAGCTTTATACAGATGATATCTGTATCAACTGGCCTTATATCCACAGCACATAAAGTGATTTCCTTTTATGCTTTAATTGAAAGAATGGTGGAATGACCAAAAGCCTCTATGGTACCCAAAATTTAAACTAAGAATGCCATCTTTTCAATAAAACTTCCTTAGCTGCATCAAACAGTCAAGAAATTAAAATGACCAAATAATTTCCCTCCAATTACAATAAAATCTTCTGTTAACCTGTAGTACTCATGATGAGACCAACTTCCTGACAACTACCATATATTATTCTTCAATAATGTAGGATTTGCCCAGAAAACTTACAATGGTTTTTATAAAAGAGAGACAATTAGACTGATATTTTTCTTTAGTATTTTGAACACAAATGAACAGAATCTTTATTCAGACAATAAAAAATAAACCAGTATGCATAATAAAATAAATTTTATTATTTACAGAGTTGTAAAGAGCATGGGGCTATGGGAGCTGCTGCCCAGTGTGTCACTATGTAGGGGGTATCCAAATTCAGTTTGATATTTAAATAGTGTATTCTTGTCACAAAAATGGGGTATTTGTATATCATGAAAATAATAATAAATGAGAGATGCAAATTAGTAATCTTGCCCTGGTGCTGATCACAGTAACTACAGCACTTGTTTTTTTTTTAATAAATGTAGAGTAGGATTTTTGTTCTGTCCAACAGAAAGGTGTCAGCAATAAGACTTATAATATTACTGTTGATTAAAATGTACAAATCTACAGACCTTGATAACTAAACTATGATATTTATTAAAATCACTAGTAAATAAACAATCAACATATAAAAACATATGACTTGCAACAGGTTATTTCCAAATAGATAAGAACCACCATAGGAGATTTCCTGACAAATCAAGTACCAGAAAATCACTAATAACTAAAAACATGTTTCTCACTTTTATTTAATTTGCTCCTTTTATAAAAACATTAAATAACTAATCATTATCTTCATAAGAATTTTCTAAAATGTACAGCTTTCCATTGGAAAATAATTTTTGAGACTATCTAATTTTGTAACTAGGTGAGAGTTAATATATATATCTCAAAACTTGCATTTTTTAGCTGGTGATGCAACACAATTTAATAACTCCAGGAAAACAATGTATCTTCTTACCACAGTAAACAAGCACCGAGATATGGCAACACAATACCTTCCACCATCACAACCCCACCTCCTCAATTCTTTTCTCTATCATTAATTTTATAGTTACCTTGAATGCCTGTAGATGTAGGAACTACCAGTAAATTATATATTGTTTCAACCTATTTATAAAGATGTATGCAGTTTCTCGTGTTTTAATACTGAATGTATGGTACAAATTATTTATTTAATTACTAGCTTAATTATTGCTATTTTGAGTTTGTACATTTCTACACAAGTCCATTTATGTGCAATTACACACATAAGTATACACTGAATATTCAAATATGATCTCCATTGTTTCAGCTTCCTTTAATACTTCCTTAGACAATTACATCTACATTTAATTTACATATCAACTTAGATGTTCTGAATATGTATACATGTAGACAAGAGTATTGTTATACCTCACTGTTGTGCTTTTAGACCCCAATAATATTTTAGTCATTTGACAATAACTCATTTTTAACTTCTCCAGAGTCTGGTTTGTTCATTATAATTTGTAGCCATTGTAGGTTCTGTACATATGAAGCACTATATTAAAAATTATAAAAACAACCCTGGAGCAAGGAAAGGTTATAACATTTTGTAAATAGAATTCCAGTCAGTGCCTCATCTTTTAAGGTTCTACATAATGTTGTAAAATATCAATAAAGAGCTTAGGAGTGTACTTCAAATTTGTCTGATTATTTAGTTACAAAAAATAAATATTAATATGTTACAATGTTGAACAGGGGCAGACTAGCCTCTTTAAATTTTATCAGGAAAAAAGTTAGAAGGGGCCCAGAAGTTTGTCATAAAAATAACAAAACTACATACTTTTCCAAGGAGGCCCACTGGAATTTTTCCCAGTATCTCTTTAGGCCAGTCTTTGTCTCATGTTGAACTATAGTTTCCTCTGACAAAACTTACAGTAATCTGTACAGTGTTCTCTCACACATCTAAATAGACTATTTACTACTTCATTATACAGTTGCTGAAATTATAAAAAAGAAAACTCACTTCTTTTTCATATTTTGTAGTAATGCCTAAATACAAAATATCCGTCTTTATTTTATAGGAAATATTAGTAGCCTTTAATTAAATATACTAAATATACTGTCTAGACTAAATTTTTTTAATTTCACATGTGTAATTTTCATAATGCAAGCTAACTTTGAGGTAAATAATTACTATAAGAATGTATCAATATTAACTTTAAACTTTTATTTAACTGTATACTAGAACAACAAGCTATTAAATTTGTTGAGTTAATTAACATGTTCTAGCTAAACATTTACTATCAGAGGCATCACTAGGTTCTTAAAAGCTTCAGGGCTCAGGCCCATAGGCACTGGAATTTTGGTCATTTCAGCATGATATTAATCATGGTTTTCTATTCTGATTTTTAAAAACATCAGCTGGAGATTTGGGGCACTGTCAACTAGAATCAGGACACAGGCCCCATGTACCAGTGTCTAGCAATGTTAGTGGTTACTATAAGAACATCCAATTAACTTTCATGAGGTTAAATAACACATTCTACTTAACTATATACTGCATATTTATTAAACATGATGACATGGTTAGCACAATCAGGTTAAAAGTTTACTATGACTGTACACTTATTAACTTCCATCTGTATTTTAAATCTTCTGGAAAGAGATCACATATGCTAAATTCAAATAATTTTTTCAAAAACTTAGATACTTGATGATGTCACATTAATTTAATTTATAAAAACAACAACTCATGTTTTCACTGTTTTCTTTTTACTTTCTACTAAAATTTATAAATGAAATGTATATGTTTACAAACCTTAACAAGATAAGCAACATGGCCAGTTTGTAAAGATTCAGGTAGATGAACCCAACGTCGTGTTCCTAGAGCAAACAAAATTTCATTATACAATTATTTTTAGTCAGCCTACAAATAGTTCTATTAATGCAATAACAGAATTTTTTTATTACAGGTGTTGCACATGTGTCAATTCACTTTGTTGTAAAGAGAACTTACAGTAAGTAAAGAGACAGTATATTTTATTTACAAACAACAATCAAAAACTGAGATTAAAGATGGTCATATTAGACATAAATTTGTTTATATGGTTGATTTTTCATTTTACTTTACCCTAAATAATGCAATCAGTATATAAAACAGCACAACTTGTCCAGTTACATTACCCAACAAATGTCAACAGAAGGTTTCATTGTCTTACAGAATAAGATTTACCAATCTGAGCAAAAACAACATAATGTTTAGTAAGTAGTAGATTTGCCTTCTTAATCTGAGCATGTATCCAAATCACAAGTGGTTTTCAAATATATATTATATTTCTAATATATATATATATATTTGAAAGTTTAACTTAGTGGGTGTGGATAATGGGACTACATTATTCAAAGTTTGAAGAACAGAAGATCAAAAGGTGTTTTCTAAATCAAAAATAATATTCTATAAAAGTTTATATTTAATTTTGTTTGAGCTGGCAAACCAGATAGAATTAGTAATTTTACCTGTTTCAGTTAAACACATGTTGTATTGATGAAAGGCCAAGTTTTCTCTTAAATCATAATTTTCATTTGTGTAACTTAGGTATTTTGGTAGGCTTTTTCCCCTTTGTACACAATTAATTTTAAATTGGCAAGCATTGTGTGACTTGCATGAGCACACTGATATCATACAATAAACTATTTGAGATAATAACTTTACCCACTTACTTTCAGGCCACTGTCTTAGCTTATATTCCTAAGCTACTCAGCTATTGCAGTGCAAAGGTTTTTTGGTTGTTGTTTTTCAACAAAAAAACAAAACAAGTTTTGCTCATTTGTTAAAAACTGAAAAAAATGTTGAGAAGAGTACTAACACTTTGTTCTTTATACAATTTACGTAATGCTCAGTTTAAAACTACAGTGAACTCTTTATAATCAAGTGGAATTGTAATTTTCCCAACAATTCCAGAACACTAACAGGTATAGATGTAGCAGCATCTATATAACACAGTCACCCTGCTTAACATTAAAGTATTATTGTGCCCTTGCTACAGAAGCAGATAACAAACCTTTATGTGGTAGTAGTTAAACCCTGATGAGATACCTGGTAAAAAAGGTATTAAGTTTAAGTATGTTTACTGTCTTATTATCTGTCACCAAACATGTTTGCCCTTTCAACTGTTGAGGCATTATAAAGTGATGGTCAATCCCACTATTCATTGGTAAAGAGTAGAACAAGAGTTGACAGTGGATGGTGTTAACTAGCTGCCTACCCTCTAGTCTATCATTCCAACATTAGGAATGGCTAATGCAGATTAGTCTCAAGTACCTTTATGTGAAATTTAAGAAAATAAACAAACAATACTATCTTATTTATTTGACTGTTGTCGATGTTACAATAAAAGCAAGTATTTAAATTTTACTTCATATTATAATAATTCTTTTCTACATACCTTCCTTTTTCCCAATTTTGTTGTTTTGTGTCCATTTGAGGAGTCCAGATTGCCTAATCATGTTGCAAAAATCCAAACTGAAAAATTGTACAAAATACCACCAAGTTCTAGCTTTCTGACAGTCAAGTCAAACTTTGCTTCTTAAAATGAACTGTTTTGAACAATTTGATATGTCTAATTTTGATAATTTTACACATTCAGAAATGTATGTTTGTCTTTGCAGCCTTAAGGATAATGAAGAGTCTCTTGTTTGCCTTCCTGGGAGCTCTAGAAACTGAAAATAATATTAATTAATTAATAAAATATGTTAAACATAAAATAACACTTCAAAACTAAAACTGCTATAAGACTAACTCTTAATAATATATGAAATAAACATTTATTTAAGTCATTTTAAACATACCCACAGTCAGAAATGTCTTCATCCCCACTGAATCTATATGTAAAATCCTATTTTTGCCCAATAAAGTTTATAAAAGTTAACATCTGCCACAAACAATCATTTGGAGTCACAATGTGGAGACAAGAGCTCACAGAGCTTTGAACAAATTATTCCAGGCAGCATTGGTGTATCAGCGTCAAAGATTTCAATCTGACAAATGATATCTGAATCTATAAGAGTAATGTGCTAAAAAAAAAAAACTGCTAGACACATTACTGTAGAATGTTGGTCTAGCTACTCACAATTAATCACTTCTCTGTTGATGCAAGTTAAGAAATATGTTTTAAAATGAAAATACACAGCTGATACTAAATCCAACTCCAAGGACATAAATAAAAAGCCAACATATCCAAGATTTTGGAAGCTACATGCTGCAGAATTGCATGTAAAAGCTGCAACTTATAAGCCATTTATAACAGACATGAAGGAAAATGCAAACAACACCAGAAAATCAAAAGGTAGAGTGATGAATTTGGCTATAGATACAGTACATGGATTTGAATCAACAACTTCCTGGGAAATGAATAAAATACAACTGTTTTTCCTGAACTGTAAGAACTGATTCTTTAATATTATGGTGTGGTAATGTTTTAGCTAGTTTGGACTAAGTTCACTTGTAAGCAGTGTTGTGAATGTCTTGTAACATTCTAGGTAAACTCACAAAGCTCATAACTATTTCAGCAAAGTGATGCACCATTTCATGGAGCATTTTGAGATAACATCTAAAATAGGCCTTTCCCTCTTAAATCCAAATGTATAAATTTGATATGCTACTGATAAATGTGAAGATGAATCAATATTGTAAGTATGACAAACTAAATTAATTTAGTAACTTGATAAAGATCTGTTTTAGTAGGTTTGTTGAATATCTTTAGATATGTTAATTGCACCTTATAAAAATGTCTCAGGTCCAGTGCTACTTTCAAAACTATGTCCTCCATCATCAACCATATTCAATGTTATGGCCATGATAACACACTACTGCCCAATGCCCCAATTTCCTTATTAACAACTTTGTGTGAAAGATTGCAACCTCGATCTTAAACCACACATCATAAAGTACTTTCCACAGACCTTCCAATATATATATGAATGTTGGCTCCTAAGACTACATTTAAGCAAGCTAAAGGCACAAAAGTTTGAGATATATCAGGAAACTTGACAGGTATGTGGATGAATAGGATTGTCCCCATTGCCATTTACTTAGCTGTCTTTCTCAAGAAAACAGCTATTGATTTTAAGGTGTGGCTAGAAGCTTTTGATATGTTGGTTTGTAAGCCTTCAAGAACTTCAAATCCTTGTTTACTACCTGGTTTACAGCACTTGGAGATATGTCCAACTTCATCTCAATTTTACTTTGACTCGCAAGTTCTCTTTTTTCATAAGCTTATCCATCACTTTGCAGATGAAAAGAAGAGGGTTCTGAACCAGATTAGTATGACTCTATGAGGTGTGGTTTCAGAGCCCACTGCTGTCCTACTGCTGTTTTCTACTTCCATTGGAAAACACTAAAGGGTTCCTAAGCCTTACTTGAAACGTTGTGTCATTTTGTTCTGCATCATTTGAGAATCTGTGAACCAACGTAAACTAAATGTGTCACCTTTAGCACCACATTTCTACAGAATGCCACAACACTATTATGTTAGATCTTTAAAATAAAGTGAAATTAACCATCTTTACAATTTCTACAATACATCTCACTGATTCTTTGAATACTCGACTGTAATCTTCAAACAATTAAATCATTTATAACATTCACATATTGCCTGTGCATGTAAAAATACGGTAAGGGAAATCATACAGAAACAATAAATTATCGGCATTGAAAAAACAATAAAACTGTACGTTTCACAAACACATCATTTATTCACGGCCATGGTTTCGCTAGTAAATGCATCATCAAATCGTGAATAAATGATGTATTTGTGAAACGTACAATTGTCTTGTTTTCCTCAATTTTGTAATTACGAGGTTTCACCAAGTACCGACGTTTCAAGTATCAATAAATAATCACATTTTGTGGTGGACTAAAAGTAAAAGCACATGAGGTTATCCATCAGTCTTGTAGTTTTTAAAACTTTAATCATTCAATAAAAAAGTCTATTTTTGAATGATCAATGTATCATATTCTACATGATTACCTGACATCTATATCTGTCATTGTAACATTTATTTGTCTAGGTATGGCCTAGCATAGCTTGGTAGTTAAGCCACTCGCCTCTCCATCTTCAGGTCGTATGTTTCAACTCCCATCACCAAGCATGCTCGCTTTTCGAGTTATTGTGTGACGTCAATCCTACTAACTGCTTTCCCTCTAGTCCAGTAGTTCTCAACCTTTTGTGGCCCTCTCACTCCTTCCCTAAAAAGTGTGAATTAGACATTTCCGCGCACCCCTGGTTGGAGACCCCTGCTCTAGGCTAGCACTGTTAAATTAGAGTCGACTAGCGCAAATAGGCCTCGAAATTCAAAACAAACCAATTTGTCTAGGATATCTTGAATAACAGCGAAAATTATTTTTTAACAGGTTCTGTTTTTGGTGAGTTCTTTTTGATAATTCAGTAAAACCAATGCAGTGTCCAATCCACTTAACAATAAAGAAAGTGATTTATTTCTTCAACCATAATGTAGAACATCTACACCTACATTCACTAACAGTAGAGGAGTCGCTATGCGCTAGCACACAGAACCCGTGCCCCCATTCTATTTGACAGTGCTCTGCATCCCCATTGGTATCTTGAAAAAATCAGAATAGCAAACCATGATCACTCAGTAACTGATCAATAAGGGAGTAACAGAGTCACTACTAACTAACTAGCTACGCACCGACTGACTGATTGACTTGAAAATTCAAGACATTGTGTCAAATGTAGATGATTAGGAAATTTCTAGATGCCACATATCATAATTATGACATGCCAAAATTCACTGTAGTAACCAATACAGAAGGTCTAACTTAAATCATTAAAACAACCTACAACACTACCCCTCTCAGCATTGTGAAGTCCCCTGAACAATCATAATACATTATGTTACG